GAGAGAGAGAGAGAGAGAGAGAGAGAGAGAGAGAGAGAGAGAGAGACTAAGAGAAGGACAAAAAGACAGGAGAGAGAAACAGACCAGAAAGGCACAGGGAGAAAGTGGCAACACACACTCAGGCACCCGCAGGAGAAAAAGAGAGGTCAGGACACATAAAAAGGAAGTCACCCCCACCCCCACCCCCCGCACACACCCTCTGGGGGATGCGAAGAAAGGGAAAGAAAGGTGCGAAATAGAGGGAGAAGACAAGGAGATTGAAGGGTAAGCGCCCCGCGCAGGTGGGATCAGGCACAGGGGGCCTCGGGGAGGGGGATGAAAAGAGTGAGGCGGCCAGCCACCACCCTCTGTCTTTTGCCGGCTCTCTCTGCCCCAGTTCCGAAGTGGCAGTGTGGATACCCAGATTTAACTAGAAGTCTCCCTGCCCCCAGCTTGGGCTGCTACTAGAGCCCCCTGTTGGGTTTGGGATTCAACTTTCTTTTCCAGAACTGGTGGAAGGAGCGGGTCCCCCATGCCGATGCCGGCCTCACTCAGCCGGTCCTGTTCCAGTGCCTAGCTCAAGCGAGCGCTGCGAGAGGAAGTGAAAATCGCCCAGTAATTAATTTCCCTGCTGCCGGGGGGTGGTGGTTTTGACACATCCGAGGCTGTGTCTTTCCCTGAAGCGGGGGAGCAGACAATAGAGACACGTGGACTGAGAAGGGAGAGGGGGGAAGGGAGGGGAAGCGGGGCTCCTGCTGGAACTCTTTGCAGGTCAGCTCCTTTGTCTCTGGAAGGATCTAAGCAGACCCCCCCACTCCACCAGCCAATCCAATCCTAACCTGGGGGAGCACTCATTCCTTGGAAGGACTAAGGAGCTGGGAAGCTCAGTCTCCTGTTCAGAGGCAGCCAGGCAAACCCGGGGGTGGTGGATCAGCCGGAGCAAATGTGGGGTAAGGTCAGTGTGCCGGAGTCCCAGCACCGGCCTCTGGGAATGCCGGGCTCTTCCTGGCCGATATCATCTATTATGGATGCAAAGCTGATGGAGTGGGGATGTCCTTGGGGACTGGGTCCTCCAGTGCCAGTTGGGAGTGAAAGACCAGGTCACACAGCCAGCGAGTCAGCAGCAGTTTCCAAAGTGTCCTCTGGCACCACGCGAAGTCAAGGGCTATGGCAGTCCTGGAAGTGTGGCTAAGAAATCTCCCAGTAACATTTGGGTACCTGGTCTTGCCAAGATTCTGCATAATCTGGGAGTCCCTGTTTATTTTCCTAGTCACACGGCTTTCTGTTTTGTCCCTTGGGACTTTATTTTATTATTTTTTGTTGTTGTTATTTATTATTTATCACTTTTTACCCTCAGATAACCACAATCCTCAACTCATGGTCCTCATTATCATCTTGTGCTCCAGACTTAAGGAGCTTGCTTCCAGCTCTTCAGCCTGGCTACCCTCTTGGTCTCTGTGCAGGATGACAGAGTGTCCTTTACCTCAGCTAACCCTACTTGTCCTCATGACTTAGCTGAGGTGGCATATCCTATAGATGGTGGCCTTGACTTCCTTTATTGTGGACAAAGCCTGTTTGCCCACCAGTCTCTGAGTCTGTGAGGACAAGGACTGCCCGTCTATGGCACAGCATACTTTCAACCATGTGTGCCCAGGTTTCCCAGGCCTCCATATAGCTGTAGAATCTTGGGCAAGTTGCCCAGCTGATATGTGCCTCAGTTCTGCATTTATAAGTGGAAACAAGCCGGGCAGTGGTGGCACACACCTTTAATCCCAGCACTGGGGGGGGGGGCAGAGCCAGGTGGATCTCTGTGAGTTCGAGGCCAACCTGGGCTACAGAGTGAGATCCAGGAAAGGCGCAAAGCTACACAGAGAAACCCTGTCTCGAACCCCCCCCCCAAAAAAAAATAAGTGGAAACAATACTTGTTGCTGACTCAGGTGTTGCTGGGAGCATTCTAGGAGCTGTCGCCTATGAAGAAATTAGACTGGTGATGTGTTAGACTGGCATACAGGAAGTGCTCGGTACACTCAGGTTCTGTTTATACAGCTGTGCCTGAAGGACCTAGCACTCAGAGGTAGGTATTCCTAGTCCCCACTGTCTTGGAGATGATATCCAAAGGACAGTGAATGGACACTGAACAGGGAGTGCTTAAGTCAAAACCGTCCTTTCAAAGAGGTGTTTGGTGCTGGGAGGGACCTAACAACAGATGATGGAGGCTGGTGGGTCCTTTAGACAAGGAGCCAGCAAAGATCTCATAGGAGAGGTGCCTCTTAAGCCAAGATGCAAACCAGCCATAGGAAAACCAGGCAAAGACAGGGCCAGGAGCTACCCCATGTTCAAAGGCTCTGGAACAACATGCTGGGATTTGTTGAGGGATGACAAGAAGTGAGAGGTGATAAGGCCAGATTGCAGAGGGTTCTCAAGAAGCCCAGAATGAGTGCTGAATGAGTGAGTGCACGGCAGTGTGACATTGAGCCTGAGACGGGATGGCCCTGTTGGTTGCAGAGTAGCATTGGCTCCCTGTCTAGAAGAAACTATCTGTACGGTGTGGCCCTTATTTGTGGTATAGCTGTATTCTTGTTCTGTGCTGGGTCTTGGACTTTATTTCCTCTATGAGTGTCCAGGGCACCGAGGATACATAAAACAAGTGGGTGCCAAGAGGCTCGCCCATGCCATTCCACCCTCTGTCTCAGAGATGGCAGAACAGAGCCCAGATTGCTTACCAAGGCTCCAAGGGTCCACAAAGTCTGGAAGGAGCTGGAACTGAATTCTCCTTCATCAGGATTTCAAATCGGACAGGCCCATCCATTCACTGACCAGTAGAACCCCCACGGAAGTGATGCATCTCAGTCCACTAGAATCCAGCTGAGGCTAAGATCCCACTTGGAAGGTGACATACACATCTTTGGCAGATGTGATGGTTAGTTTTATTGTCAACTTGGTATGCTCCAGAACCACCTGGAGAGAGTCTCTGTAAGGAGCTGTCTAGATCATCCTGGGCCCTGATAGTGCCTATGAAGGATTTCCTTAATTGCGTTAATTGATGTGGGAAAATCCAGCCCACTGGAGGTTTGAGTCCTGGACCATGTACTAGCAGAAAAAGTAAGCTGAAGAGAAACATTCACACACTCGATTCTTCCTCTGCTCTTTACTCTGGGTATAACGAAGCTACTTCAAATCCCTGCCTTGACTTCCCTGTAATGGTGAACTGTAACCCGGAGTTCTGAGCTGAAATAAAACCCTGTCTCCCTAACTTTTCTTTTGTTGTTATTGTTTTCAACTCTATGGATATGAGTGTTTTGCCTGTGTGTATGTACACCTCAGAAGAAGGCATTGGATCCCCTAGAACTGAACCCAGATCCTCTGCAAGAGTAATAAGTGCTCTTAACTGCGGAATCAGCTCTCCAGTTCCCCTACTTGCTTTATCAGGATATTCTATCATAGCAACAGACATGAAGGTAAGAGAGCAGCTAAGAAGAAACCAGCTGAGGACCTGAGGTTCAAAGTACCTCTTCAGGATGTTGGAATATACTGGACTATACTGTGGTGGTGCCGCTTCATCACTAGGACACCAAGAAGGGCCCTCTACCTCGTGTTTCCCAATACGAGCTTACTGGGTTTGTCCCCAAATCACATAGAATGAAAAAAGTGCTCTCTTCCCAAGGGCAGCTGCTGCAGTATTAAAGTCAGGGTGAAAATCCCAGTTGGCCTGAGTGGAGAGGGGTTTCCAAGAAGACATCCTCTATGGATGTGGACGACCATATTGGGAAGCACATGGCTTTATGTTAAGTGAAGGATGCAGCATCCAGAACTCTCTCGGCAATGAGCCCAAGACCAAACAAACAGGCACAGAGAGGAAGGTGGCTGCTCAGGTCATTTTCATGATCCTTTGTGTGTTTTCTCCAAAGACTGAAAAGACTGTTCAGTTCAACAAACGCTCCTCTTGAGCGTTTCTATTTACTTCCGAATTAAAGACGTGAAGTTCAGTAAAGTATAGCCTACAGTCCTCTTGCCTTGGACACAATGGCATTGCTGCAAGATTGCCGTGATCACCAAATGTCAGCACACTGGTGCAGTGCTCACAGCAAAGCCTGGCCCACAGTGATAGGGTGGCAGAGTTTATCTGGGCTTTGTTCACTTTCACTTATCTGAGCCTTGGCACCAAGTCTGCACACTTGGGTGAATGACTGGCTTAAGGTCTCCTGGTCCATATGCAGAGAAGCTGGGGGCGGGGTGTCCCATGTCTATGTGGTCCACCACCCACTTCCTTCCCAGGCTTGGGATACATCTAGCTTCAAGCTGCCTGCCCAGCCTGCTCTGTCCCCCCAGCATCTCCCTCTGTCCTGCCTTGCATCTGGACAGGAGTCTCAGCTGTGTGACCTTAGATGGCTGGCAGTATGTTCTGAGGTCACCCTGCATGGCTGTGACAAGGGGGTGGGCATCGGGGATTTTGCACCTGTCACTCTAGGGGTCAGAAGGAACAGTCATGGGGGTTGGGAGCCTGGCCGCTGCCACACTCTTCTCCATCCTTTCT